GACAAACCAATAAAACAAAAGAAACTACGAAAGAATAGAAAATAATATATATATATATATATATATATATAAAATAATGCACATTTTTTCAGCAATAAATACATTTATTTCTAAACTTAAAAAACATTTTTACACATTCTTAATAATAATAAAAAAACAAGGACTTTAGCTTTCTTGGGCTTTATAACCATTTGAAACAAAATGTTCATTCAATTTCCATTATTTCCTTCTGTAAAAACAAATATTTTACAAATATCCTGGTTCATACTAAAGGTTAACTACATTCTGCCACAGAATGGTTTTCAGTTCATCTTCATGAAACTACCAACAATTTGTCCAAAAAACACAATGAAAAAGGTGTTAGTAAATCAGAAGTTTGGATAAACCAAAATGAATATTTTATCAATTATAAATCTTCTCTCAACGTTATAAATGATATTTCCATTGATCAACACTGTAACTAGCTTGATTACTCAAGATGGAAAATAAGGTATTTTTGATTAATACTGCACACACACACACACACACACACATCTTTATAAAATTTTGCAAGTTTTTAGTAAACATTTTAAGTTTGTAGTACACAAAAAATCAGATTTTTAATAAAGTACTTTTACTAAACACTTGTCTGTGAATTTATTGATTCAGGTTGACTGACTAGTCTGAGTATAAGGTGATTTTTGTGTTAATAAGAGTAACAGGATTTAAACCAGACTCCTAAAACAAAGAGAAATGTTTGAAGATAAGAAGACTTCACACTTCTGTATCAAATGCATTCACGGTGTTAAAACACGGTTTGATAAAGGAAATGTTGTTTATTTAGTGGTTAATTATTTCCATAATGTGTGTGTGTGAATATATGTATGTATACACATAATTTGAAATGTTAAATAATGGTAATTATATATATTTTTTTCAATTTAAAGACATTTTTCATCAGAAGCTTAGAAAAAAATTTTATTTTAGTTTTTGCAGTTTGAATCAATAAAATAGTCTGTCAGTTCATTTGAAATAATATAAAACTATTTTCTAACTTCAGTGTATTTTTCTTTATTTTTTTGTTTATTCTTATTTGTATAACATAGATTTTGAATGCTAGTCATGATTTGTATTCTTATCAGGATTTTATTTTTACCCATACACATACACATTGCTTTTTCTTGCATCTTTATAAATAGATCAGTTCCAGAATCTCTTGATATCTTGCACTTACCAATTGAGCTAATTCTAACTCAGTACTTTGGGAAATATTTTTGGCTTTTTGTTCTCTCATTTTTTATTGACTTTTTTTTTTTCTGGCCAGAAGTTGACTTAGGTTTTTCAAATGTTTTATGTCAAATCAATTTGCTAGAGGCATTCTGAATGAATGGAGAACACCTCTATAGGCACTAATATATAAGTTCGAGTTGATTGCATGCTTAAAAATCAATTATATTTAAATTAATGTGTAAAAACAATTTAAAATGATACCAGTTTATTGTATATATCTTGAGCAATTAATAATTACCTCCCTTGACAAACAATTCAGTCATAAGTACAGGGCCTGGCATTGTCTGATGGTAAGGGCACTCGATTCATAGTCTAAAGGTTTTATGGGTTTGAATTCCTTGACCAAACATGCCCACCCTTTCAGTCATGGGGGGCATTATAATGTGATAATTAATTCTACTTTTTGTTGGTAAAAAAGTAACCTAAGAGTTGGCAGTGGATAGTGTTGACTAACTGCCTTTCTTCTAGTTTGTCACTTCTAAATTAGGGATGAGTAATCTAAATAGCCCTAAAATAGCTTTGCATTCAATTCATCAAATACAAAAACAAAATTACAGCAATCAACATGTTGAAAAAGACCTGCGATACCTATTCCAATCATCATTAACAGCATTTTGTAATCCACTGATAAATAATCCAGGTCTATAGTCAATTTTTTTCTTTGTTTGAACACAAATATTGAAAAACAACTGGTACTTATATTTTGGTATTGACATACTCTTGATGGGGAGGTATTATTGAGTGTGCTAATTGGGTTATGCCTCTATTATGCATGCCAAGTTTGAAAAATATAGATAAGCATGTAGTAGTTTATCAGAGATTTGATTGGCTTTGTCAGGCTTTTAGAAACTAGGTGTCATACTGTTGCCACCTTTTACATGGTATGTGACTGACTGAGCTGAAAGGGATTCACATTTCACCATAGAAGGAATACAAAAAAAACGAAGTCAGAACACTGAAGCTTTAGTTTAAAAGCACTGCCAAGTCAGTTGAAATCTAGAATAACGATCTGACTAAAATAATTACAGTGATTTGCCAAAATAGAAATATACACCTGGAAAAAAGTTAAGCACCCCCAAATATTTTTCAGGATTGCTTATTGAAAATAAGGTTTAATTTTCATGATGTTGAGCAATGTTCATAATTTCAAACATAATTAAAGGGATGTGAGCATTCAGA